TGCTTACTCTGCGCCCCTCTCTTCTCCCTCCAGCTCTCCAGGCTTTGCCCCATCTCTGTGCTGTTGGCCCTTGCTATTACAGGTGTGCAATCTCCTTTGGCTCCATCTAGTCCAGTTATACCCAACTTTTGAGAATCAGCTCAAACATTACCATTTCTGGGAGGCCTTCTTGGCCAAATCTCAACCCCCAACCAACTTCTGCAAACAGAAAATAGGGTACTGTGGAAATCAGTTTTATTCTGGATAAGAGCAGGACTTCAATCACCCTTTAAGGACAGTGGTGCTGCTGGTATCTTTGTAATTCTGTGTGTTCTAGCATGGTGTGGACTGTCTCCAAAAGTCTCTTAAGACCTGCAAGTCCCCTTCGGTGCTTGTGGAGGTAAGTTAGCAGTTGAGCCATCTGGTATTTGTGTGTCTAAACTGTTCATGATATAATAGTTTTCGGAGAGTTGACTTGGAGGAGCCCAGACCTGATGATAGGAAGTGTGAGTGGAACATTTTCTAGAGTCAGCTATCTACTCACTTCCTTATCACGTCGTTCAAGAAGCATTTATGGAGCCGTTTTTGCCAGGCACTGTGCTGGGCACTGTAGTCAGCATGGTCAGCACACTGCTGGCCCTGCCTCCGGGGGCTTGGTGCACAGGGAGCGGCTGTGCTGCAGGGAATTGTATGCTAATAACCACAGAGGTGCTGGGCCTCCTTCAGGTCCTTAGCTACACGAAGAAAGGGTTTGTTCTGCTCCCTTCTGTATCTCCTATTGATTTTAGTCAATGTCACTAGCATCACAAACACTTTTCTGCACAGGGAGGTGTTTGGTAAGTAGGGAAGGAGGGAGGGAGAGAGAAATGTCCTGTTTACTAACCTAAGAAACAGTGTCTGACCCCAACCATAGAAGTAAATCACTGCCTTCTTCACGTCTTCTCTTCAGACATTACTGCAAACTCTGGGGACAAAGGCATCAAAACCAGAAGTAAGAAAAAAAATAAAATAAAAACAATACAAAATAAAGTAAAATTCCTGGCCAGCAGCCTGGGTGTGATTAGACCCTGGGTTGGCAAACTGCAGCTCCCGAGGCACATGCGGATCTTTGGCCCCTTAAGTGTAGCTCTTCCACAAAATACCATGGCCTGGCAAGTACATTTTGAAGAAGTGGCATTGGAATAAGTTTAAGTTTAAAAAACTTGGCTCTCAAAAGAAATTTCAATTGTTGTACTGCTGATATTTGGCTCTGTTGACTGATGAGTTTGCTGACCACTGGATTAGACCATTGAAGAGGAGTGTTCCCTGACTATATAAATCCTCAACTTGTCTCCTTTTAATTAAGTGACTTACAAATCACATTCTTTTGAGGTTTGCATAAGTAGAAGGCTCTGGTAATTAGATGAAGAGAAACAGAATACATTTTTACAGGACCATAATGATCTCTTTTCATTTTTTAAATATTTTTATTCCCATGAGCCTCTAGACATGTCTTTGACCTTATTTAATGCAACAGTGCATGTGGGGTAAACTTGGACTTCCATTATGACAGTCCCTCAGCAGTTTGCAGCATTGAGAGGAAGAGGGGAAGAAGGAAGACTAAAAGAAGCTGGCAGTATTAACTGAGATAACAACTGTGACAGCAAAACCTGAGTCTCTCCACCGAGCAGAGGGGCCCAGCAGGTGAGCCTGGTTCAGAAGGATGTGATGGGCACCATGCAGGAAGCTGGGCGCTTGCTCTCCTTAACAACTGAATCACCAGGTTTTCCTTGAGGGAGCTGAGCCCTCAGGCAGATGAGTCCACTGCAGAGAATGCACTGGCATAACCCTTACCTTTGTGTTTCTTTGCTGTCAGCTCAGAGCCAGGGAAAGGGGAGGATTATGAGAGCTTGTGCGGTTCTGTCTCCATCATTGCAATATTCAAGAAGTAGATTCAGTGGAAGGCTAGCATAAAGCAAAGAACAGTCAAGCTGCTGAGGGCTGTTGAATTTTTAATCTCCAAACACTTTTCTCCCTTTCTCTAGTTATAATCTATTTTCAGAGCCCTGGAGTAAAAGGATTGTATAAGTCCCATTTATTGTCGACCATTCAGAAGCTTCCTCATGTTTCATGACTAGGAGAAAGCCAGGAATGAGTTCTTAGAAAAATTTCCCAGGAGCCCGTGACATCTCAGAAACTAGATGTTTTGCATTGAGGTGAGGAGTACAAGCAATAGGAATGATGGCTCAGTGATTACAGCACCAACAGCTCTCTGTCCACAGACCCTGAGGCTTTTTATCCCTGTGACCCTGTCTTTGCCCCCAAGGCAGGAGATCCATAAAGTCCTGGGCACAGAAAATATTCCTACACTCCCCAGGGGAGTGATGTTTATTTGTTCCTCCCTCCCTTCCCCCTTACCCCCATGACCCAATGAACCTTCACCTGTGCCCTGAGATGACTGCATTTGCTGTCCTTCCTCCAGTGGCTTCAAGTTTTCCTTATGTAAGGGAAGGGCCCAGGAGAAGCTGTGACTGCTCCTCCTGTCTGTCTGCCCCACTAGGGAGCCTTTTACCTTATGCACTGCTCTAATCTTCCTCTTGAGCACCCTAGAGTGGGTGGAGAAACCTTATCTTCCAGCAGGTCCACATTATCCTGGGATCTGCTGAGACCAGGGTTTTATATTCTCACCCTAGCCCAGATTTGGGCCCTTAGCAATTTGTTTGAACTCAGTGTATCGTGTCCCACAGAACATGTTCCAGGGAAGCATGTGGTCCAAGAAAGCAGGTACTGGCATCCCTTCTCTCTTTAGAGGCTCCTGTCCTTCCTTACATTTCAGGTTCGTTGTTGCTTCTGCATTTTCAGCTCTGCTAGAATCAAGATGGTTGTGAATTTGCAGATTGTCTGTCTCTGAGTGTGTTTTATTGTTTTCGGTTGATAGGGCTGTTGCTTTTTTCAGCTTTCTCCATTCTAATAGAAGACAGAAATCAACTGAAACGTTTATTAATTTCAGTTTCAAGGGTTATATTTTAAGGACTTATATACATACATATGAGCCTAACCAGTGGTCAAGGACAATAGGGGGGTGGGGACATGAGTGGGGATGGGGGGTTGAGGACAAATATGTGATACCTTAATCAATAAAGAAATTAATTTAAAAAATTAAAAAAAATAAAGAGATGCTTTTAAAGTGCAATTCTTCCAGAGGAGAGTGATAAGGGTGTTCCTTGGCATGGGAGCCACCGTAGAGGAACTAGAAATATCTAAACTGAAGATAAAAGGCCTAAAGAGAGAACTCTTGACTCTCAGGATAGCAATCTGGAAGCAAGATTAGACTTAGTTGGTGTTACTCTAGAGGCCAGAAGTAATGGGTGGAAATTACAGGGAGGCAGATTTCTGCTCAATACCAGGGAGAAAACATCCTATTAAAGAGAGCTATTAAAGCTAGGTAGAGTGCTTTTTGAGGTCACGGTCTCCTATCTATTTAAAATATATTACTGATTTCAGAGAGGAAGGGAGAGGGAGCAAGAAATTAAAAACATTAATGATGAGAGAGAATCATTGATTGGCTGCCTCCTCATGCCTCCTATTGGAGGATAGAGCCTGCCCTTGTATAAAATCGAACCTGGGACCCTTCAGTCCACAGGCCGAAGCTCTATTCACTGAACCAAACCAGCAAGGGTTAGTCTCCCCTTCTAACAGTAATTGGAAGAGTTGAACTTGCATGAAAATTTGTCAATATATTTTTAAAGGTAGTTTTAGAATTCCATTAGGAGTTTGGAATAGGCAAACTCTGATATACATTCAATTCTTATAATTACAATAAATATACTTTTTTTTTTTTATTCATTCTGTCTTTTAAATTCACTCTCAACTCTGAGGTAAGAATCCACTGACTTTCAGGTCCTTACTAATGTGGTGACATGAAGTTGTGGCTTCTTAAGACAGAGAACCTACACCATAGTTTTGAGCATTGAGCTATTAAACAGGGTTCTTTTGTCTTGATTCAAAATGAGTGTCACAAATTATAGATAGTTAACATTAGTGATGTTTTCTGCTTGGACTGTAATCTTCATCCATTTGCTTTGAAATGAATATTAAAACTGAAGACAAAATAATGATGATTTACCCCAGCAAAAGCAATGTAATTTTAGTGATATTTTTAGGGCTCCAATGAAGAGATTCCAAAACATCAAAATCATTTGGTTTTGAGGAGAGAAAAAAGAAGCAACTGGATTAGCTCCAGTTGGCCACATGAGAATGCATACATAACATGAGGTAAAATACAGGTGCAACATATAGTTATTTGAAAAAGAAGGGAAGCATGCTTTATTCCGCAATGCCACCATAAATCAGTGGCTCCAGTGAAACCAATCAAAATCTAGAAAACCCAGTTGGGGGAAAAGGGCCCATTGGAGAGAGGCTCCCAGGGAGCAGAGCTCCAGGTGATGACAGAGGGAGGAGAGAGGCACACCTTTGATTGAAGTGCAGTGTTATGTATGACTGATGATTTCTTTGCCAAGACTCAGCTGGCTTGCTGATATCTCTGGTCTTGTATATGGAAATGGGAGTGCCATAATCATAAGTATTTTCTGTGATGTCTAGTCTTTGCCTCTTTTCTGTTTTGAAAGATTAAATAATAAAATTGCCTTTTCTTTAACATAGCATAGAGAAAACACTTTGAACCAGGTTAGTATATGTACAAAGGAATCCCTGGCACTATCATGAAGTAACACTTGGGTCCAGCCTCCTCTCATTTTCCATTTTGAAAACAGAGTGCTCTCTCCATCCCTTGCTTGTGTCTCCAGCTTGATCCACCTCTCCTTCAGAAAGGGCCAACCCCATATTCTCCTGTGGCTCTTGGCTGTCCATTGTTTACCATTTGAGAATAATGTTGGGCTTAGAAAGACTGATTTGGCAGGTATATTAGACCTGAAAAAGGGGGTGAGTGATAGATACTTTCAGTGCAGAAGATTGTTTCTCTTCTAAACATAAGATTGAGTCTGCTTAAAACAATTTCTTAATCATGGCCTCAGTTCCGAAAACCAACAAAATAGAACCGCGGTCCTATTCCATTATTCCACTAATGGCCCCAGCTATCCCTCTTAATCATGTAAAACAATTTCTTGTGTTATTTTTTTCAAGGCATAAATGCCAGCCATGTGGTTAGCAGGTATGTACACTCTTCTGGCCTTTTGTTTCTTTGCCTACTCATTTCTTACATTTTGAGTATCCCTCTAGTCTTCACACTTCCTCAAGAAGGATCCCCAAAGAATCCCCAAAATGAAACCTAAGAAAGAAAACCAAGATTGATCTAGATTTCTAATTTTAGATCCTCTGTTTAGAATGTTGATAGGGAAAGAATTTGAAACTACCTACCACAATTAGGTTACTGAAGTATAGATAACTTATCAGTTTATGGTTTTAATTTCTAGAACTTTCTTGAAAATGAAGTTGATCTTTATGCCTATATTTTAATAAAGAATAATATATTAAAATTATTTAACTTGCCAGTTTGCTTTGTGGTTACAGCATCATCCCCTGACCCAAAGGATAACAACAGGTTCTATTCCAGGTCAAAGACATGTACCTCAGTTGTAGGTTCAAACCCCCTCCTCCCCCCTCCCCCTCCTGCAAGATGTTAGCAAAAAGCAGCCAATCTATGCGTCTCTCTCATGTCGATGTTTCCCCCCCCGCCCACCTCTCTCTCTCTCTTTCTCTTTACCCATCTTCCCCATCCCTTCCACTCTCTTTAAAAAAAAATCAAAGGAAAAAGTATCCTCACTCCTCCAGTGAGGATTAAAATATATACATTTCTACCTAGCTTTGGATTTTGTTTTATCATTAATTCATTTAAGAAACATTTTTGTTGATTACTTCCTATGTGCTAGATTCTGGGACACATAGAAAAGGAATCAAATCAGTCTGTATTCTCATTGGTTTTCTCTGTGTTAAGTACTGTGGGCATATAGGAATGACTTAAGATATGGTTCCTGCTTTCAAGAGGATGTGTAGACCAGAAGAAGAAAGAGAATATATTCATAAGGGAATATAAGTAAGTATGGACAACTGCTGGTAATTATATAATATATCAGAGTGCAGGATATTAAGAAGGAGACTGAGTTAAATCATATAGTATAAAAAATGTAGACAGGAGAAGTGGGAGTGAAGGTTATTCATATTACAGTTAATGGGGCAGTGAATATGGTAGCATATTTCTATTAAATGCTGGGAACACACACAAATGGAGGAAAATAAGCTGGTATTAGTGCCTATTATGTAATCAGTAAAAACCTAAAAAGGTAGGGCATACATGAATGAGATAAGGTATAGCCGTTTTCATAATAATGTTACAACTTTGTTGGGATGCCAAGAATAATGTATATGAGACAATTAGAAAATAATTACATAATAGCAAGTGATTAGCTGCTAAATGGTGTGGCTAATGCTAATATGTTGTATGTGTTACTAAGAGAGGAGACCAAGAAGGCTGGAGAAATCAGGGATGGCTCCATAGAAGTGGCAGAACCTTATAAGACATAGAATCTTTGCATGGGGATGATGAAAGTGTGGACAAAATGACTTTTTTTTTTTTTTTTTTGTAAAGTCAGAGCATCAAAGACTTGCCAATGAAAAGCAGTATATAACGTTGCTGGACCATTAGACTGGGTGGCTTTGTAAGCCTGAAAGAGATCTGATAATATTGTAAGCATAATTTTTGAGAAGTACTTATGAATGTAATTAATAGGAAATATCAATAAGTGGGAATTTTAGAATAATTCACTTATGTAAGTAGGGACCTCATATTCTAAATTATTATATATAAATGTGAAAGTTGGACAGTGAAGAAGAGTCATAGGAAAAAAATTAAAACATAGTGTTGGAAGACAGCTCTTTGGATGCCATGACACACTAAAAAGAAGAACAAGTGTTGTCCTAGAGCAAATTAAGCCTGAAACATCACTGGAAGTTTAAAGAACAAAACCGAAGCTGTCCTATTATGGGCACATTGCGAGAAGGCAGGGTTCTTTGGAAAGGACAGTAGTACTGGGGAAAATAGAAGGCAGCAGGGAAAGAGGAAGACCAAATATGAGATGGATTGAGTTAATAAAAAAAATTAAAAAGCCGTTGACATGAGGCTTCAGGAGTTTAGCAAGGCTGTTGATGACAGGCCATTGTGGACATCAGTCATTCACAGAGTCACTAGGAGTTGGAGCCAACCCAGCCATATGTAATACATACAAGTAGGACCACAGAAGAGCCAGACTCATGACATTCATTTATCCAAGTCCTGGAGTCAGAGCTACAGAAATTACAGGCAGAAGAGAAATATCTATAGTCTAAAAGGAGAGCAGGAGTTCTGGGGTATCATGTTTGCAGTTATTCAGAGCTACTTATGTCACTAGCCCTGTGACTCCGTTGTTGCCTCATTGCACTAATATCTAGTCTCCCCCCTTTCTTACTGACTCCAATATACAGAGCCCCTTGCTGCATAGCTTCCAACTAGGTTCAGCCAATGCCAAGCATGAGTAGTGACTAGCAGGGATGGGTGGGGGAGAAGCCAGGGTGTGTCTCCCTCCAAGCTCTTCCTTACAGGAAGGAGATTGGACTTTTCACCCCTTTCACTCTTTCCTTCATGCTCCCAGCTCCTACAGGGGAGCCACACCTTGGTTCTACATTCTTCCAGAAGACTGGCTTCTGGGTTTTGGAAACACCACTTCTTCCCCTGTCTTTCCAGCCTTTGGGCCATAGCAGCTGTTAGTTGTGGCTAATCTCTGGGTTAATTCATCATTCCCTGTTTGGCTTCTCCATGTTTTAATCACTAGGGTAATCAATTCTATATCTGAAAGTCTTGTTTAAAATGCATAGAAATATTCCTAGTTTCTGGATGAACCCTGACTATATAATCATGGATAAATCTTTCTGGCTCTGGTTTTCATATCTTTAAACCTGAAAGTATGAGCTAGTTACTTGTAATGCTTGTAAAAATAACTGATAAATTAGATAATCAGATATGTAACTCTATTACAGGAGTTTATCATTGTGTAATTCTTTCATCCATATAATAACTTCTTATGGGATAGATGTGTAGTGCACTTTGGGACATTTGCTTGAATGGAAGTTTTGAAAAAAAATATTTAATGATTGTAGAACTTTAAAATGGTGGGAATTGAACCAGTATAGGTCAGTCTTTTAAAAGATCAAGACTGATATTTGCATGGAGATGCATGGAGCATAGTGGAGAACATGGAAGGAAGATTTCTTGTGAGAAAATCCAAAAAGGATGGAAAGAATTGTAAGTGCATTTAGCCCCAGAGATGGAGCATTTGGAGCCAAAAGGTCAACGAGCACAGAAAAGAGAGGCGTCCTTTTTCTTAGCATTTGCTAACACCCGCAGGGTCATCTCTTTCATCTGAATTTCCATCTCTTTAGTGACCAAGACCACCCTGTTGCCTTATGAGTGTCTACTTCAATCACATGACAGGCAATTTAGAATTTTTGTAATTATCTAAGGATTAGCAGTGGAGTAGGCTTTGTTCGCTCCCAATTGAATGCTCAATTTTACAGCCATAATTGGAAAGATTTCCAGTAATTTGTGGTAGTTGAATTTAGTAAAAGGAATGGGGTGATTTTTGTTACTTTATTCCATTGTGAAGTCTTTATAATCCGTATTTGGCAGAGGCATGAGATAATCTCTGGCAATGTGGGTCTTGGACAAGATTTTTCTTTGTGACTCAACTGCAGAGAAGGTTGAATGAATCCTATCCTGCTTCTTATTTATTCTCTCTGGGTATTATCAGTCATCATTACTCTTCACACTATAAGGCAGGACCATTTTTGTGCCAATGAGGAATCACTAAGAGTAAGTCTGAGAGTAAGTTTTGCCCCAAATTAACCAATATTATAGTCGGTGATTGAATCATTAAATTAAAAATTTTGATCCAGTGCTAAGGCATCAACAATAATGTATATTAGATTATTAATTATGTCAGTACTGTGGTGTGCCTTATACAGACACTTGCAAAGGCACATATTTTGCTTTCCTTTGTTAATGATCAGAGCCAGATACCCTGACTCCCACATACAAAGCAAATAGGAATATAATTTCAAACTCTTTGGGATGGTATTAACAAAACATTGGTACTAAAACAAATGAGTGGATAGGTATCTATTTACATAGATGTATGTATGATCCAAATGGCCATGGATAGTCTATGTTAATCCAATGAAAAAATTCATCTAGTTTAACACATTTGTAGATCAACTCTGATGGGACCAATATTCTAGCATCTTTGGGAGCTAAATGAAAAGGAGTGATAACACATTTCTCAGGTTTCCACTACATTTGCAGACCAGTTGTAGATAGAATAATAACAAAAACAAAACTGTTTGTTTAAACTTGATAGGCATTTTAGTAGTAAACTAATGAACTTTGTACTGAATAAAAAACAAAGGCATTATTTCCCTATAGAACATTGACTCTAAATCAATGGCACTAGACCAATGAGGGCCAACATCTAGTCTTGGTTCTACTATTATATAATGTTAACCTGCCTTCTGTTGCACATCTATAAAAGGTAGGAGTTGAACTGTAATGGTGAGTCTCCCAGTCTATCAAATAAAGTCCTCTGAAGCCATGCTGCTCAATTTTGATGATGTGCATTTTATTTTTATCCAAATTATGAAAATTTGGGTTTGGCAGAGTTTTTGCCATAGCACAGAAGGATTCTTGGAAAATTTCCAAGTATTTGAAATTAAACATTACATTTCTACCTAGCCCATGGGTCAGAATAAAAATAACAATATTTTGAATTGAATGTAAATGAAATACAGATAACACATTTTGTTTACTATGGTTAAAACAATGCCTGGAGAAAGATTTTTATGCTTATTAAAAATCTAAGAAACTCTAAAATCAATAATTTCTAGTAAGCTGCAGAAGCTTCTAGCCTTTCAAGAGAGTTCATACTTCATAAGATTGCACACTGATGTGACCACAGCAATACTCAGAACCTTATCTTGTTTAGTCCTGGAACCTCAGAAACCATGCATCATAATCCTTTTGTCCTCTCTATTGGTGAT